GCCTAGGTGAACAGAACCCCAGGCTGGCAGTGGGCTGAGCAGGCTGGTGGCGTAAGATCAGCATTTTAATTTAATTTTAAATGACGCTTCTTAAACATTTTGAAAACCTTGTTTACTTTACATACAGTAGTCTAGTTATATAATATAGATTTATAGAAAGAGACCTTCTAAAAACGTTAAAATGTATTACCGGCACGCGAAACCTTAAATTAGAGTGAATAAATGAAGACTCGGCACACCACTTCTGGAAGGTTGCCGACCCCTGGCCTAGGATATATAGGTGGTCTCAATTTCGTGCTGTTCTGTGTTTTTCCTGTTAGGTTATGGAGGATCTTTTCAAGACCGCGACAAGCATCGTGCTCTCCAGATGTCCTCAAGATGTTGAGCTTTTTCATAAATATGTATCTTCTGCCCAAAAGGTAATAAACATGAGAGGAAAAAACTGCAACCCCCCTATATCTTGCAAACACTCTTGGCAGTGCGTAGGCCTGAATTTAACAGAGCTCTCTTGTGTTACCCATTAAGAGTAGGTTTACATTTTTATTTTTTGTCTTTTGTTTTAACCAAGGGCAGGTTAGAACAGATGCTGAAGAACAAATTCATAACGTGAGTACTATTTTTGATTGCTGACATACGACATGCTGCTGTTGGTTGAGCTCCTCAATAGTTATTTTCCCCCGTCCCCTTGTCATGCCACTGACTATTAATTCTGCACAATGTTTTTTAAAGACCCTAATCACAGTTCCCTACCTGTATTTAAGCTGTGCTCTTTGCCTCAGGAATGGTTACCGTCTCCCTGACCACTTTGCTTGTGTGTTGCATCTGTTTCTCCTACCCTTTGTTTTTGTCTTCCCAGACACTTTGGCACAGGGACTGTCTTCCTGATGGTGTATGTCTGTGCAGTGCCTACCCACGCTCTGGGCACTACTGCAAAATAAATAATTGTTCATAGGCTTCAGCCATGCCCCTTTAGACTGTGATATGCTCCTCTTTCCTCGAAATCCCTGCTGTTCTGTATTAGCTCTATAGCCCTTGACTGCTTTTAGATAAGAGAGGACTTCAGTCCCCATTCTGGGCCTCCAAGCATCTCCTTTTTGCTCCACTCTCATCTGAGTGCTTGACGTCTGGTGGCTGTCCATTCATTCTGCCAAGCCATACCAGGACGCCCACCCACAACTCTCCCGGGCGTTGCACTTAAGCTAGCCTGCCACATCCATGCTTGATGACAATGGATTTGTGATTTATAACTTTCAGTGTTATTTTCATCTGCACAAGCACCACAAAACGTTGCTGAGAAGTGCAGTGTGTGTGTGTGTGTGTGTGTGTGTGTGTGTGTGTGTGAGAGAGAGAGAGAGAACCATGAGTCACATTTGAGCTATGAGCCACTTTCAAAAGGCTTCAGGTAGCAAAAGTAGGTGAGTTTCCAGCCGAGTTATTGTGGAATCCCATAACCCAAGCACATGGAACAGCATATTCCTCACTGACTGTTTATTTCAGAAAGCTTTAATGTATTATTGAATCCTTGCGGATCTTCTTTAGGGAGCTTGGTCTAGAACTGGATTTAGCCAGTGATACACAGAGATTTGATTATTGTTACCAGGCTATTTTAGTTTTCCCAGGGATGGCTTGTTTACGTTGTTACAGCCTGGTATGTGGAAAATCCATCACGCAGCTTCCTTGGTTTGGTTTTGATTTCCAGTCACATTTTTGCAGGTTGCAAAGAAGACACTGGGACAGATTCTTCACTCTGTTATCCCAGTTTGCTCTGCCAATTGCTCTACTGATTTACAGTGGTGGCGAATCTGGTGACAGAATTGCCTTTTTGGGGACACAGACATGTTGATGAAAATAAGTCTGGCGTTTTACATTGTGACAATAGTAACTCTTCTATTAATGTCAGCGCTTCATGGCATGATCTGTCCTCTTGTAGAGTACTGTGTTGAGCACATGGTTGGTGCTAGGCTGATGGGAATTCTTTCATCCTGAAGAGCTCCCATGTACTAATACAAACTAGATTTCAACGGAATCACTTCAGTCCTAGACAATATGCAGCCACCTCTAGGGTGGAACATGAAGTCTGTTTAACAGTGTGTTGTAACAATATAAAAGAAGCATCTTATGAAATGAAGGCGGGCAGAACATAATCCTCCAAACTGGAATTTGCCTGGGCCACTGGGACTAACCCCCCCCCCCCCACACACACACACACACACACACACATATCCCTCTTGAGAAGAGTATCATGTAATCTTTGATCTCTCCAGGTGCTCATTGTTAAGGCATCAGGTGTGGTAAAGCAATAAGCAGCACCTAGGTTCAGTGACTAACTCAGTGAGAAACTGCAATCCACTAAGTTACTAGGAGCTCTTCCTGTGATATTCTAGGGTTCCTTTAGGAGAGAAGTTTCCATCCAAGGTACGTAACAGAGTTGACCTTGCTTAGCTTGAGAAATCTGAGATCACAACCCAAGGTGGCATGGCTGGAGTGTCCCTTTCGTTTTCCAGTGCAATGCTTAGGAAGGGACCCTCTTGGTACTCTCATTTGCAGTGTCAAATGCTTATTTTTTTCTCTTACAGAATTTCCTACACCGAAGCAGTGGAAATTTTAAAGCGAGCTCCTCAGACATTCACTTTCCAACCAAAGGTCAGTGGGTTCCTGCTTCTGTGTGGTGGGTCTGCAGAATGCTCTCCATTTCTAAATCCCGGGGAAGCCTCACTTCTCTCTTTCTGATGTTGCAACAGAGTTGTTAGTTCACACAGTCCTTTTGTTTTGTGTCATTGCACGGTTGCAAACCAGCCATAGTCCAGTGTAACCACCGTAGCTTGGAAGATGAAGCGTTGAATAATTTAGGAAACAAGTTGTTACAAGAGTGAAGTGTGCGTAGTGAAGCTAAGCAATGGCTTAAGGGAGAGAGGTGGCACCATACCAGTAGATTGTAAGCCCTTTGCAGAAGGAGCTGTCCCTGCCTGTGTGCATGGACAGTGCCTAGTGCATTGTGTATACTTCAGGAACACATCATAACCATCTAATAGGCGAGAGGAATTTAGGTCGTACCAAGGGTTTAACTAGGAATAATGAAGTAAAAGTGAGTCAAAACACTGTATTGCCTAGATAGGTAAAGGGAGGAGTCCTTTGTTTTTCTAAAAGACTATTGTAGCCAAGGAGAAAGCAGTTTACAAATTACAGTGTTCCTAAAACTCCTACTTCATCCCTGCTTCTAACAGATGCCACAGTAGGCAAATTCCTCACTTGACCACCTACTTCTAATCCTGCATACATAGTCATTAGTCTTAACAGTCCTCAGTCCATTGCTTTGAGGATAAGTCTGGCTGGGCCCACCTTCAGAGCAGATAGGCCAAGATCAACAGATAATTTATTCTTACACAAATAGGCTCAGAGTTTAATAGAGAGTTGTAAATCCTCTATCCGGATACAGCTGTCTGTCACACAAGCAGTTCCCCCCAGCAAATCATGCATGGCTCACGCTCCTGCTGCAATGGATGTGGGTACACCTGATGGCCCCTTCCAGGGGGCATTGGGTTTTCCTAAGCGAGAGGCTGCAGAGGTGGTGTGGCATGCACCAGGGTGTGTCTAGGAAGGGAGGGAAGAGACAGGGAACAGGATGGGTACAAGCAGTGCTTGGATAAGTTCACTTTAGCAGGTTGCTAAAAATTAACCAGGTTTGTTGGGGGCGGGGGGAATCTTTGTCCAAGTTGTCTGTTCACTTAGACAACATAACGATCTGCTCTAGTTCAAGCACAAGTTACTGGGAGAGATGCAGGGATTCCTGGGTGGGATTCTCTGGCCCATGTTATGCAGGAGGTCGGACGGGATGATCAACTTGATCCTGTCTGGCCTTAAAAATCTGGGAAACTTACATTCGTGCCGTTTGCCTACTAGATCTTTCCACATTCTAGAGACCCTGTGAGAGGCAGCGCCCTTCCTAGTATCCAGCCTTTGAAAATGGTGCATCTCCATTATGTGGGGTCTGACTGTGTCTTCTAACGTGCACGCACTGCACTACTGCGTGGTCCAACTTCCCTTGCTCTCCATGTTGTTGTCTTTACAGTGGGGCAGCGATCTCCAAACTGAACATGAGAAATACCTGGTGAAGCACTGCGGCGAGGTTCCTGTGTTTGTGGTTAACTACCCGTATGATCTCAAACCTTTCTACATGCGGGACAACGAAGATGGACCTCAACACACAGTAAGTCCGTGTGTGTGCATCTCCATACCTTTTGGTCACACGCGCTGTCCTCCCTCATCCTACCTAGCAATAGATTAGCATCATTCTGGTCTCCAGTCAGAAGCAGGAGATAAGATACATCAATCAACTGCAACAGTTAAGACCCAGGCCAGACCCTTTCCTTCCTTTAGCGAGAGATCCAAAACAGGAGAGAATCCGATCGGTCAAGAGAAGAATGGACAGCCTAGATCTTTGGAAGGCAGCCAGTTAGGTTTGCTGTTGTCAGTTTCTTTTTAAGGGAAGTTCAAACATAAAATAAGGTAACAATTTTTTTTAAGAGGAGCCTCTTTCATGACAACCAATGCCCATAGTATTCCATGGCATTGTTCTCCAGCCTTCCTAGCCCAGTCTGTGGGTATTTTATCCTCCTACCAGCAGATGGGGACAGGAAATAGACTCCTTTTGGGTTCTGCTTTCAGCATGGGGTCCCTGTGCTGTGTAACTCCAGGCACTGTGTCTGGAGGAATTCCTCTGTGCCTTCGACAGTCGCGGCATATCTGCGTTTCCCTGACCCCCCCCCCCCCCCCCAGCTTGCTCTTCGTACCCCTTGGGGCTTGGGCACACACAGACTTACACCAAAATAACTGAATTGGTTTCATTTCACACGGGTTGTTATTTCGGTACAGACACTTTTATGTCAGAATGAAAGGGGCCGACTTTGATTTGATTTTGGTATCAGCCTAGTATTTTTTACCCTCGCTGGCAGATGGCTGCTGCATTTAGTGACCCTGCCCCTCTGCAAAATGCATTCCGCAAGTCCAAGGTAACGAAATGAAACATTTGCTGCTGCTATAAACAATCACGGCTGGGGAAGCTCCTCTGGAGTGTGTATATATTTACATAAGTGGTCTCCTAGACTCAACAGCGGAAGCTCGAGTCGCAGTTGTAGTGACTGGATGGGAGAGCCCTCTCCACCTGGCGAGAGGAAGCAGCATTTGGGAAAGGGTCTGTGAGGACCCCTGTAGAAGCCCATGTTTCCTCAGTGTGCTGCTTTGTCCCCCTCTAGTAACTGGAGCACATGAGTCTGCTACAGTCTTTGGCTAACAGCTGGGTTTTTCATCTCAGGCAGTTAGAGGCTCCTGCTTTTCTATCCAGAGGTTCTGGGTTCGATCCCTTCTTCCAATGACCAGCCAGAATATGTCTTCTGTGGAAGGTGTAACTTCCAGCTCGAGGAGACATACCTACTCTGGCTTTGATCAAGTTAGCACCCATAGACGTGTAGCCACCCCTACTATATGGTTTCAGACAGGATCATACTCAGGGTGGCTAGCTGCTTGAACCACCATAGCTACCCTTTTATTTTTAAGCACGCTAGCTTGATCAGAATTAGTGCGTCTATGCTGTCTTGATCTGGAAATTACACCAAAGCTCCAGTGTAGACGTACCCTAGGATTCCTGATCTGTTGTATACCATATAAGCTATGCCATCTGTTACCTTGTGCTAGTCACTATGATGTCCAGCTACCAATGGGTTAGATCACTATCTGTGTACTTGCATAGGGTCCATCTCCATAGTATCAGAGCACCTCACAAACAGGGATGAATTTATCCTCCCAGCAGCCCTGGGATTACTGTTGGACTGCACAGTTAAATGGCGTGACTCAGTTTATGACTCTCTTTCCCCTAAGGTTGCAGCCGTTGATCTTCTGGTACCAGGAATAGGGGAGTTATGTGGCGGCAGCCTGAGAGAGGAGCGACTGCATTTTCTGCAATCACGCTTAGAGAGGTATGGAGAAACCCTATGGCTGATTACTAGCAGTAGCGGAGGAACAGTCTGGCAAGGGAGTGTCTCAGAGGCCACTGGAGTTTGGTGGGGGAAGGAGTAGATGTACAGACAGTAGATGTTCCTTTATGTTTATTGGCTTTGAAGAATCTGTTAATCAACTATTTATCTACTAAGCAAAATATGGCTGTATCCCCAAATGATGACTTGCTTCTGGCGTAAATATGCCAAGTGCCTCTTTGTATCATCTCACCACAGAAAAACGTTGCATGCTACTCAGAGAGGACCTCTCCTATCACATGGGCTCCAAGGAAGCTATCGGTAATCGTTAGGGCTGTCAAGCGATTAAAAATATTAATCGTGTGATTAATCGCGCTGTTAAACAATAATTGAATACCATTTATTTCAATATTTTGGATGTTTTCTACATTTTCAAATATATTGGTTTCAATTACAATACAGAATACAAAGTGTACAGTGCTCACTTTATATTTAGTTTTGATTACAAGTATTTGCACTGTAAAAAAACAAAAGAAATAGCATTTTTCAATTCACCTAATACAAGTACTGTAGTGCAATCTCTTTATCATGAAAGTTGAACTTACAAATGTAGAATTATGTACAAAAAAACCTGCATTAAAAAATAAAACAATGTAAAATTTTAGAGCCTGCAAGTCCACTCAGTCTTACTTCTTGTTCAGCCAATTGGTCAGACAAACAAGTTTATTTACATTTGCAGGAGAGAATGCTGCCTGCTTCTTGTTTACAATGTCATCTGAAAGTGAGAACAGACGTTCTCATGGCACTGTTGTAGCTGGTGTCACAAGATATTTACGTGCCAGATGCGCTAAAGATTCATATGTCCCTTCATGCTTTAACCACCATTCCAGGGGACATGTGTCCATGCTGATGACGGGTTCTGCTCGATAACAATCCAAAGCAGTGTGGACTGACGCATGTTAATTTTCATTATCTGAGTGAGATGCCACCAGCAGAAGATTGATTTTTTTTTTTTGGTGGCTCAGGTTCTGTAGTTTCCGCATCGGACTGTTGCTCTTTTAAGACCTGAAAGCATGCTTCACACCTCATCCCTCTCAGATTTTGGAAGGCACGTCAGATTCTTAAACCTTGAGTCGAGTGCTGTAGCTATCTTTAGAAATCTCACATTAGTACCTTCTTTGCGTTTTGTGAAATCTGCAGTGAAAGGGTTCTTAAAATGAACCACATGTACTGGGTCATCATCCAAGACTGCCATAACATGAAATATATGGCAGAATGCGGGTAAAACAGGGCAGGGGACATACAATTCTCTCCCAAGGTCAGTCACAAATTTAATTAATGCATTATTTTTTTAACAAGCATCATCAGCGTGGAAGCATGTCCGCTGGAATGGTGGCCAAAGCATGAAGGGGCATACGAATGTTTAGCATATCTGGCACGTAAATACCTTGCAATGCCGGCTACAAAAGTGCCATGCAAATGCCTGTTCTCACTTTCTGGTGACATTATAAATAAGAAGTGTGCAGCATTATCTCCCGTAAATGTAAACAAATTTGTTTGTCTTAGCGATTGGCTGAACAAGAAGTGGGACTGAGTGGACTTGTAGGCGCCGAAGTTTTACATTGTTTTGTTTTTGAGTGCAGTTACATAACAAAAAAAAAAAATCTACATTTGTAAGTTGCACTTTCATGACAAAGAAATTGCACTACAGTCAGTACTTGTGTGAGGTGAATTGAAAAATACACCTCTACCCCGATACAACGCGGTCCTTGGGAGCAAAAAAATATCACCGCCTTATAGGTGAGACCGCATAATATCGGATACGGTCCGGTATCACTTGCCGGGAAGAGCCGGTATGCCGTGCCAGACTGGACTTGCTTCCCCGGCGGTGATTTAAAGGGCCC